ACACATCATCCACTTACATCCACTTATAGTCAAAGTCAAAGTCAAATAAGGATTAAATTGAATAAATAATTTTTACGGGGACTAATTGGTAATTAATAATACTTGGAGGGTTAGAAATAATATATATAAAATCTAGGATGGCAGTTTACATTATTAGAAATGAAAAATATAATTTTGTATGAAAATTGGGGACTTGACTTTGCAATTTCTTATAATTGTCCACTTAACTTGGGGGGTACTTTTCAAAACACTTTTGTCTAACATCCACTTTTTCACAATACTTAAAATTTTTTGACATTCACCACAATAGCCTTACAATACTTAAAAGACGAAATTACTCTTAAAATATTATACAAATTATAAAAAATGGTATTATTTAAAAAACAATAATACACTATTTAAGTTATAAAGAATTCCAAACACTTCACACTTAAAATTTCGAAACCAATTCATTTTCTTTATCTGTTTACTCCAACACAGATAAAAATAATTTCATTTTTCTTCTACTTCAAATTTGAAAACAGATAAATTTATCAAACACTCAACAATGAAATATTATTCACAGCCATCAGAGAAATCAGTAAGTATATTTTTACGTATTTTTAGTTTCGTNACTACAACACAGATGATTTTTTTTTCATTTTTCCTTTACTACAAACTTGAAAACAGATAAATTTATCAAACGCTCAACAAGGAAATATTATTTACAGCCATTAGTGAAATCGGTAAATATATTTTTACATATTTTTAATTTCGTCTCGGTTAAGTACATTATTTTAATTTTTAAATTTTATGTATATGAAAATTTTATGATTTTAAGTAGACCTATAATCGATTTTTTAAAAACAAAAACGAGAAAAAAATTCATCTACACGATATTTTCAGATCTGTGATGGAAGAAAAACTATTCGGACCACCCGAACGTCCAAGGGGCCTGCGGGCCCGGACTGTGGGGGGTCCGGGCCCGTACGGCCCCCCGGACGTCTGGGCCCAAATGGTCCAGACGTGCGGGTTGTTGACGTTAATTTTTTTCACGTTAATAACAAATTTTTTTTAAATGCAGCAGATATGGGATCGGTTGCAATCCCGATTCTTTATTTTGGTGAATTTGAAGAGAATGGAA